TATTGGTGGATAAAACAGTGCCGGACTACTGATCTTGGCTCCTGGACCACACTGGACCACACTGGTCCACCACACTGGACCACCACACTGGACCACCACACTGGTCCACACTGGTCCCACTAGTGAGGCCGACACAAGATTACAGTTACTGTGTCATGAGCAACACTTGTGGGAAAGTTATCTCTAAACTTTAGGTTTCCTTGAGAGAGAGAGAGAGAGAGAGAGAGAGAGAGAGAGAGAGAGAGAGAGAGAGAGAGAGAGAGAGAGAGAGAGAGAGAGAGAGAGAGAGAGAGAGAGAGCGAGCGAGCGAGAGAGAGCGAGCGAGCGAGAGAGAGCGAGCGAGCGAGAGAGAGCGAGAGCGAGAACGAGCGAGCGAGAGAGAGAGAGAGAGAGAGAGAGAGAGAGAGAGAGAGAGAGAGAGAGAGAGAGAGAGAGAGAGAGAGAGAGAGAGAGAGAGAGAGAGAGAGAGAGAGAGAGAGCGAGAGAGAGAGACTGAAAATAAAAGAGGATGAAGAGATATGAAATAGAAGTGGGAGAGGAGGGGTTGAGAAAAGGGTGCGAAGAGAAGGGGAGATGGAATGGGAAAGATACTGGAGTGGAAGAGGAAGAATGCGAGAAAGAAGAGTGAAGAAGAAGAAGAAGGAAGCGAAGGAGGCTTGAGAAATGAGAGTAATAATACCAGGAGAGAACCATCCTTCGAGCTAAATGAACACAAGACAATTGGAAAGGTAGGATGAGAAGACATCCTTTGGTGCATCTCCTTATCTTCAGAGATGCACCGGCTTCAGCATCCCTCCCCCCCCCCTCCCCCCTGGACCTGCTTGATGGGGGGGGGGGGTTCTGGGTCTTCTCCTCCTCCTCCTACTCCTCAAGCGCGGTCCGAGACCAGGCTTGACTTGTGAGAGCTTGGTCCAACAGGCTGTTGCTTGGGGCGGCCCGCAGGCCCACATACACACCCTCTTGGATGCCTCAAGTTTACATTAAAATACTTGGTACATCCACTTATATTTGAGGCTTCCTGACACTATAGGAATAGTTAGACTATATCTAGAGTTGTTCTATGATTCTTCTCGCTTATTTCCATCTCTGTTTTCCTTCCTTCATTCAGCTTTCTCTCTCTTCCTTCATTTCTCTCTCTCTCCCTTTTCTTTCTTCACATCCTCTCTGTTCCCCCTCTTCCCCTTAAGCAGCCTCCGTCACCTCTGAACTTCAGGTTTCTCTCCCTGAGTTGTGTGACACGGTAATGCCCCGAGACTACCGCCAGGAGGGGCCCCTCACCCTCCAAAGCCCGTACTCACATACAATACTGAACCAATCTCGCCCTTAGTGGTAACAATTCTGGCAGAGGCACCAAGTTCCCTCCCTCGTAACACAACGGTGGAGAGAGACAACGTATGTGACCTGGGTTTTTTGTAGAGTTATTGGTGGCTTGTTCGGATACCACAAGACAATATCCAAGTGTAGACATGGGCTCTAATATGGGTCCCTCGGGTGTTGTATATTCTCTTCTCCAAGGCGAAGTGGTAAGTGGTGTCACTAGTTTTTGACACCACAGTGTCACTGGGGTAAGTGCCACTAGTTTTTGAAGGATCTGGGTTCTGAGTTAATCGAAACAAGAGGCCACAGAGCCGCCAGCTGCCTTTACCAGCGCCTCAACTTGGCAACAGAACAAACGCACACAGCAGTCAAATGCTGTGGCAACCCTATCAATAAACGACAAAATTTTATCTGAATGCTCTTTTATTTCCTCCTCCCAAGCTGTGGCTCCCACAGTTGCACTAGAGATGGAACCCTCAAGTACTTTTTTGAGAGGTAGAGATGAGTGCTTGTTGAAGGTGGACTTATTTTGCAGTATTGCAGGGAAGGGCAGCGAGTGACAAGTTAAGGTCGGCCGCTGAAGCAAAGACTAACTTGAGACTAACTTGAGACAGTTGTATGATGACTTAGGAAAGAAATCTCCTACAGCTCAACCAATCTTTCATTCTCAAGCAAAATACACAACCTTTTCCCCCGTCACAGAGTGACTTTACACAACGTGTGCACAAGGCACTTCTCACGGATCACATTTTTGCAGAATTAAACACCTCTGACCTTTCCCTGTTGTACTGGAGCACCTCACAATACTCACCCCTCACTCAAGCTCCTCCTCACCATTGCTGCTACCTCCAACCTCTCTATTATCATCATACTCATCATCATCACCATCAAAACACAGAACAACCACGTGCTTTTATCAATCACAAGTTTTGAGAAAAATCTCTGCAGTTTCTTAAAGTATTTGACAATGTGATTAACCATTCTCTTGATTCAATTATTACTTCCGTCGATGAATAGTAAAGTAAATATTCACACATTACTTAATAAAGTGCAGTATCATAACTTGATTATCACTAGTTTCTTGCAAGTACTTAAATGCTAGCGTGTGGGGGGGGGGGAGGGGGAGGAAAGTAACTATCAGGAGAAAGTGGTGAGGTATTATTCGCTCTATAGGTCTATCAGGGAAGTGTGATCAGGAACATGAGAATATGGTCAGGGAACGGTGCTCAACCACCTGGACCGTTGGGGATCGAACTACGAACCTACGACAAGCAAGGCCGTCGCTGTACCGTCTAGTTTCAAGGGAATGAATCCAAATTGGGTAGATATTAGCATAACTCATCAGCTTTGTTGTGAATTACACATTCGAAAATGGGTCTATTCGTGAATAGACCATAACTTGTAACATATGTGAGCGTAGCCCATATGTGGCCATAGCCCATATGTGGTCATAGCCCATATGTGGGCATAGTCCATATGTGGCCATAATCCATATGTGGGCATGGCCCATTAAAATAATAGTGAGAGCGTGTGGCACCCTTTAGTTAGTGGTGATATTAAGGATAAGGATCATGATCCAATCACATGAAGTAAGCCCGTCGCCTCTCAGACACCGCAGGTGCAGCTCTACTGGCCACACGTTTGCAGTAGTAATACAATTTCCTGGATATACAGGGAACGAGCGCGGCCGGTCGTGCCTCAAGGCAACTAGCATCATCGTGGTAAAGAGGAACCCTTGTGTTTCAGGACCAGAAGTGTGCCGGGATTTTGTAGGGAGGACGGGGGCTCACTTTTCTCAAAATGAGACTGTCCCTCCCTCATAAATCGAGAAGAAACAGACAGGAACATCTTATCCCGTTCTCTTTCAATACGCTAACCACTAGTGGGTTGGACATGTATATGAGTGGAATTGGGTGGTTATAGATAGGAGCTGCCTCGTATGGGCCAACAGGCCTTCTTGAGGTTATAGGTTATCTTGAGATGATTTCGGGGCTTTAGTGTCCCCGCGGCCCGGTCCTCGACCAGGCCTCCACCCCCAGGAAGCAGCCCGTGACAGCTGACTAACACCCAGATACCTATTTTACTGCTAGGTAACAGGGGCATAGGGTGAAAAAACTCTGCCCATTGTTTCTCGCCGGCGCCTGGGATCAAACCCAGGATCACAAGTCCAGCTGTCCGCTCGGCCGACCGGCTTCTGCAGTTACCTTTATTCTTATGTTATAAACGACAGTTGGATAGTCACACGCACATACGTACCAACAGACTAACTGCTTATCGCGCTAAACCACTAAAAGTTCCGGGGCATAAAATCAATTGAGACTCTTGAGCGACACTTCCTAATGCCAGCCACCAATCACCAGACCAGTTAAGACCAGTCGCGGTACCACCATCACCACCTTTACCTCCAGGGACGGTCTCCCTCCCACCTCTCCTTCCCACAGCCCAGGTCTGGAAGAAGCACCCGTCGCATCACTTTTCCGGAACCATCGGCGTTATCGGAAAAGAAATGAAAGGTTGTGGGGGCTTCCTCCGGAGGCAGGTCCCGGCGTGGCGGGGCCGGGGGTGGCAGCAGGGATGTCTACAAGCATTACGCCTCTGATGGATTATCGATGGGAGGGAAGTTAGTGTTCCATCCCCCCTCCCACATGACGCTTTGTCAGGCCTCCTCCTCCTCCCTGCTTGATGGGGTTCTGGGAGTTGTTCTACTCCCCAAGCCCGGCCCGAGGCCAGGCTCGACTTGTGAGAGTTTGGTCCACCAGGCAGTTGCTTGGAGCGGCCCACCACAGCCTAGGCTGATCCGGAACTTCTCTTAGAAAACAGTCCAGTTTTCTCTTGAAGATGTCCACGGTTGTTCCGGCAATATTTCTTATAGTCGCTGGGGCTCCCGGGGCTCTTTTGAATAGTGTGGAGTGAAATGACTGCGTGAGAGCTATGTGAACTGGGTGTAGGTAGCATATTTACGCATATATGCTGGCTATTTAACCTGTCCTCTAGAATAATGATATAGGTTTGACGTTAAAATCCGCAATACACAACTTTATGATGAACTATAAATCACAGCCGCTCGAAAACAATGACTGTTCTATGCGTCAGGTTAGGTTCGGGCGATTTAATACATCATTTTCCGTGTGTTGTGACAACTCTGGTGCAGGGAGCGTATGATGTAACAAGAATTAGAGCCAGAAACTTGACACTTAACTATGTTTTAAGCAATAATTTTCTTTTCAGACCAAATCATTCACGTTTTTAAACTTTCAGAGAAATACAGAAGTAAAATATTTGGGTTTTCCGGCTTGAAGTTAAGAAACAAAGCCGATGAACTCATTTTCAGATTTACATTTACGTCAACTGTAATTTTATCGTACAGTAATATCTAGATGTAAAAGTCCCGTATAATTATGAATAAAAACTAATCGCTCAACAATTCTGGATGACTGGTGTCTGGCCGAACATTCCAAAAACCCGCCAAGCAAGCGGGGTTGCAAGCGTTTGGCGGGAATGGGTTTGGCGGGAATTTGCTTGCCAGAAACCTCCCTCCCTCAAAAGTCTCTCTCTCTCTCTCTCTCTCTCTCTCTCTCTCTCACGTGCAAGTAGAGAGGTTCCTCTCTCACCTCACTACTTCTACTACTCAGTCGAAGTACTCTATACCCCTCAGCCAAAATATGACCCAACTCAATACTCACGAAGAAAATGAAGTTGAAGAAGCACAAGAGATACTTGGCGAAGGCGGTGCCGCAGTCCAGCGCCATCTCGCTGCAAAGGGAGAACACTGTCAAAATTATTATGTCCGAGCTGATTGCGCGGCTGCAGTAATCTCTGCAACAGCTGGTTACACCGCAACAGCACACGTCATTAGAGTAAGTGATTATAAACTGGCAGAGGCCATTATCAAATTGAAGAAATTTAATTGTATTACACCTGCAGAGGGTTCTAGATTTTCTTTTTTAACACACACACACACACACACACACAACACGTGCAGTATATATACTGATCTATCTATACAATACATGCTCGGGGACGGAGGCCAGACGCTCGGGGCTAGCCTCACCAACTTTTCACAGTGACTGCTGAGGGGTACGTGCCGGTACACACCTCTTAACCGACGAAAAAAAATACTTCTGAACTCTATACACACAGTCCAAGCAAGGTTGGGCCGACCTTCCCAAGGGGGGAGGAGGTCGGGCCGACCTTCCCAAGGGGGGAGGAGGTCGGGCCGACCTTCCCAAGGGAAAAGTCGTGCCGAGAATATTTACTCTGAATATTTACAGAAGAATTATTTTATCAGTAGTGTTGCCTTTATTGTTGACCCTCTTATCTTATTAGCCTCATAAACTGGTGAGTGTGAGAGGGAGGGCCCGTGGTGGGGCCCCCTGGTGGAGGGTGGGGCCCCTGAGAAAGGGTGGGGCCCCTGAGAAAGGGTGGGCCCCCGTGGGAAAGGGTGGGGCCCCCGTGGGAAAGGGTGGGCCCCCGTGGGAAAGGGTGGGCCCCCGTGGGAAAGGGTGGGCGCGCAGGGAAGATGCAGTATCCGGCAAATAACTGGGACGTGATGAGAGCCTTCCCACTTTGTCTCGGCTCACGACGCCAACAAAATAATGAGCTCTGTCCCAGTTTCCCCAGCTCCTGGCCAACAATCCCAGTTACCCCAGCTCCTGGCCAACAATCCCAGTTTCCCCAGCGCCTGGCCAACAATCCCAGTTTCCCCAGCGCCTGGCCAACAATCCCAGTTACCCCAGCTCCTGGCCAACAATCCTAGTTTCCTCAGCTCTTCGCCATACCCGTCAGCCCCACACCACCAACGCCACACCTACCACCCCCCACACCATCAAGGCCACACCTACCACCCCCCACACCATCAAGGCCACACCTGCCACCCCCCCACACCACCAAGGACGACTGAAGACATTTACAAACGAATTTAATCCCAGATATAACTCCCCCAAGCGTAATAAAACGACAAAAATCATCTTAATATATAATCAGAGCGAGAGCAAATATCGCCAGCAAGGCCACGCCAACAGACACAGTCACGCCACTGTCTCACAATGACGAGAATTTCTCAATTTCTCTCAATATAAAAATCGCATGTGAATCGACACGGTTAAAATGCTGAACGAATTTCTTCATCATAAACAAAGGGGAAATTAACAGATACGTTCCGACGGGAAATTTGAAAGATGGTTAGTACAAGACGACAAAAATGTTTGATAACACATAAAGGGGTGAGGGGAAAAAGGAGAAGGAAATGGGTCTGGAAATCACTGTAGTTTTTACGAGCGTGTAAAATCTTGTAAAATATTTACATTTTACACTAGTGGCGGGAAAATTCAAAAGATTTTGTTTTAATTTGTGGCGGTGATGAGAAAAATGAGCGCTGGAAATATCCAACATTAATATTGTCGTGACAGAACGAGTTCAAGACATGTTTTATGTACACTGACACACACAGACACACGTTCAGTATCTCTTACTGATGAAGAATTGTCAGATTAAATCCAGCATCCTTAGGGCAGCCTAGTAGCGGGGGGAGGGGGGGGGGAATTACCCATCAGTTCGACCTGAGGTCCGACCTTATAATTGACAAACAATTTATCTGGAGTCACATAAACACAATATATACATCTAATGTTTATGGTTAAGTTTACAGTCTCGACTCAACTCTTCAACAGGACGAGCCGACTTGCAGTATAGGGTTCCGTAGCCTAACAGGACCCCCAAGGGAATGAAATACTCTTAGTCAGTAGCCTATCCTTTAACCAGTGCAGGAGTCCACACAACGCTGCCCTCTACAGTTGCTGTCCAACTCCCTTTCCGTGACCATGGAATGGAGCTCTTTCGAGAAGAACAGAGGGAAAGAAATCACTGTGGAAGATTAAAAACAATGCCATTTACCAAACTAAAATAAAAGTCACATAGAACTTTAAATGGGGAGGAATACCAAGGCCTTTCTTCCAGGCCATTAAGCCCCATGCACGAGCACTTGAGAACAATGGGAGCTCCGTACCTGTGGCCAGTCCCTTCCCCCCACAATCACCCATATTCCACATTTTCCTACCCACCTGAGTGGGGAAAGTGTGGAATATGGAAGGACATTCTTTCTCCCCTCTCATTCCTATCATCTTTTTCAATCCATCTACCCCCAGCCTTTCCTCGTGAACTGAAATTGATCTTTCCCTCCCTCAGCCCCTTCATCACCCTCGGGACCTCCCTCGCCTCCCTGGTCCCTGTCCCTGGCTCAGGGACCAGGTCTGGAGGCCGGGAAGGCTGGCCACTGAAGTGGCTCCACTTACGCCACTTGTAATGGCTCGGAAGATTATTATTTTTCTTTTGTTTTCAAAGACTCGTGGTGTAGCGTTTTCTCCTTCTCCTGCCTCTTCCTCCTTGCAAGCTTCCGTTCCCTCTTTCTTCCTCTCTTCAATATTTTAAGAAGCTTACAAAAGTGAGAGGAGATATTGTTGGCGGCATTGGGTATGGCACTTACAACATTCAGATTGTCCTGACAAGTGTCTGTTTCTCTCTCACGGGTTGTTGTGCTCTCACCCGTCTCCTCTTACACCATCCTGGGAAACTGCTTCCTGCAGGATATCGCAAAAGTCATTTTCCAGGAGGATATCGTGAAAAATCTCTTCACATCCAACAATGTCTCTTCCCCTCCCCCTTCATAATATCCAAAAATATCTTCATAACATCCCCTTACTAGTTGAATACCAGCCTTGCATATTAATAAATCATTAAGAGTGGAGCACAATACTATGCTAATGGACGGTTGCTAATGTGATTCCCACTTCTAACAAGGTAAACAGATCACTGCAAGCCAAACTTAATGTCTATTGCAGAAACAAATGGCTTGAATTGATAACAGCCAAAACCTTACGTTGATATGATGAATAACCGAATAGTCACGGTTTTACTAGTTTTGCTTGAACGGATCGTATTGACAACTTTACCATGATTTTAGTTCAGTGTATTTCAAGCAGCGAACAGTGGAAAAGATTGTGATATTTCATACCTTGACTTTACCAAAGGCTTTGACTGCGTGTCTCGCGAAGGACTCGTTAGAAAGATAGAGTAGACACAATTGTGAAGGGGAGTGGTTACCCTAAGGTGGATTAGGCTAAGTTTATTTCAAAAGAGTGAGTTAGCATAAATGGAATGAGGTCTGAGTGGGAAAACCATTTCAATTAAATTTAAATTTTGCCCCGAGGGGCGAGTTTATTGGGCAGCGCCACTCATCTTGTGAGTGGACACACCGCCATAGTGACAGTATTGGGCAGCGCCACTCATCCTGTGAGTGGACACACCGCCATAGCAGCATGTACAACACTCCCCAATAGGAAGAAACCCCGCTGGGTTGTTCATCCTGTCACTTGTAATCATTTTCAAGTGCCGTGCCTGAGGACTTTATCCTGAGACTTCTGTTGTTTACCATATACATAAACGATTTACACACACGAGATTTAAAAGCAATATTTGCAACTTTGCAGATGATAGAAAAATTGGGCTAAAAATAAACTCAGAAGGATCAAAATCGCTACAAGATGATTTAGGTCAAACTGAAAACAGACGAATGATTGACAAGATGCAGTTTAATGCTAACACATATATAACTATTATATTCTAAAGAGTAGTCAGATATCACCTGAACAATGCTGAAATTGTCAAATCTGCATGTGAGAAAGATCCGGAAGTCATAGGATATCAGGATTCATATCTAGAAGAGTTAGAAATAAGATATCCAAGGTTAGCATTGCCTTGTCTTCGATGTGGCCCACTGAGATTAAGCAGTTTAATTTGGCTCACTACTTCACAATGGGCATTGTGTACACATAGGTATTTACACAGGTATTTACACAGGCATTTACATAGATACAGAGCATTTACATAAGCATTTACATAGACGCGTACAAACGAGGATACTAAAATTAATTCAAAAAATTATAAAACTCCATTATTAAGAGAGATTAGGAAAGTTCAATATACATGTTCTAAACTAGAAGATTATACGAAAGGATGAAAGGATATAAGCGAAATATTATCAAGGTGAAAACTACATCTCAAAAGGAAGTACGAAACAATGAATACAAATCAAGCAAACAAATTAAGCAACAATGTATACAAATTTAGGACTCAGAATTTTCCTTGAGGCAAATATTATTAACGACCGAACAAATTACTGGGAAGTTGGGTCGTTTGACTGAAACGATCATCATCTCTGGGTTTCTTGAGATCTTGAGGTTATCTTGAGATGATTTTCGGGGCTTAGTGTCCCCCGCGGCCCAGTTCTCGACCAGGTCTCCATCCCCCAGGAAGCAGCCCGTGACACCTGACTAACTCCCAGGTACCTATTTACTGCTAGGTAACAGGGTTACTAGGTGGTAATACAAGGGGAATAATATGAGCTAATACGTCGTCTCCTGCAGTTTCCATTGTTGTTACCCCTCGCTGATCCACAATCACCCACAAGCACACACCCACAATCACCCACAATCACCCACACTGTTATCCTGCTTCCGCCAGAGACACGAAATAAAAGCAGCTAAGGCAAAACATCGTTTATCTTCTCTCTCCCATTACTCACATGGAGGTGCAGGCAGGGAGGTGGGGAGCCTAGGGTAGTGTGTGGAGCCTAGGGTAGTGTGGGGAGCCTAGGGTAGTGTGGGGAGCCTAGAGCAGTGTGGGGGAGCCTAGGGGTAGTGTGGGGGAGCCTAGAGCAGTGTGGGGGAGCCTAGGGGTAGTGTGTGGAGCCTAGGGTA